GTGGAGGCAAGGGGATACCCATGGGCTGGACAGCCTGTGTGGAAGTCAAGTGGGTATCTGGTGGCAAAAAAAAAAGAAGATTATTGTACATAGCAAATCAAATGCTTTTTGAGCTGCAAGTATGTGCATATGGGATAAACAATTGCTGAAACATGAGACACGAAGCCACTCAATAGAAAATCATAACAAACACAGGGAAGCCTTTGTGGAAACGTCATTTATTATTTCCACAAGTACACACAGACTTGTTTACCTCAGAACACATCCACAAGGTTTTCCAAATGGGGTGATTTCTGAAATCTCTCAACTCTCAAAAGTCAAAACTACAATCTGCCGCACCAAATCATTAGCATAGCAATAACAGTTTACACAAAAATGCCACAGTTTAAAAGTTTTTTTGTCTTGAGGATGCTTTTTTGTTCCCACCCTTGTGCTTCACAATAATTCAGCTTAATAATTTAGGATAATTGAGCTTAAATTAACACTTAAAACACATTTGTCTGATAGAATATTTCAGATATTATAAAAGCTACTTTAAAATCAACTTATCGCACTGGTAAAAGCCCTCATTTGCAGTCACTGCTCTATTGTTGTTGTAAACTATGATTAACAAATTAAATGTTTGTAGGGGCAATTCTAAAGTTCAAAATTTAGAACCTACTCAGCAAGTTTTAATCCTTAAAGTTGTTAATATGATGTAGGGCACAAATAAATAGATAATTATATATGGCAACACTTAAGAACATAGTAAACATCTGAAGAAAGCACTTGCGGTAAAAGGCAGCAAAGTGATGCGGTGTGTGTGGACGGAAACCTGAGGTGCATGTTTCTACAACTTCATGCCAATATGAAGGCGGAGGATGGGTGTACAACAAAATGTGTGCCAGGAGGGGGAAACAGGGCAGAGAAAAGGAGGGAATATTGGAGGGAGGTATCTAAATGCATGCTCAGTAAACAGAGATTGAGGGTTCGGGTCCAGATGGCAGCTGTTAACTCTGCTCACACGCACAGCTGATTAAAAACACATTGCGCTGTGCTCCACACTTACCCATAAACACACGCACACTTCAGCAGATAAAACTTAGTTACATGGGCAGTGAGTCAGACTACAAGAACATGTAAGAATTCTTTAGAAAAATTCCATGTTTTGTGCCTTTTTTAAAAGTAAAGACATTCAAAAAGTGTCCTAAAATATGCACAAAAAGTGTACTGCCAATGGGTCAATGACAAATAAGAATCAAGTTCATGTATTTAAAAAAATATTAAACATTTTTCCACAAAAAATATTGAAGTAATAACTATATATAAAAATGTCAACTGGTCTAACCATCATCATGTAAAAAAAACCCCAAATATTTTCCTTCCACCTATAATTCACTAGTGTCCACAACTTATCATTATTTGTAAAAACGTTTTAAACATGTCAATGTAAAAAAATATTGTATGAATATAAATGTCTGAGCCATGATTTTATATTACGACCTGAACAAAGTGTTCCCTTTCATAAAAGGTGAAAAATCGTTTTAACTTAACGACCAGGACACAGCCATGAAGGTCTTCACTGTTTATGATTTTCTTGTCACGTGACAACAAAATGATTTGCCAGATAAACTTTTTTTCTTCTTCAAAATATTAATATTATATAATGCAACATCGCTTCACAGCACATTTAAATAATAATAATAATGAGCCAAACTACATGTGCCATCTTTTTTATGGATGGATGTTTTTTTGTGAGGTTTTGTTCGGGTAGTTACACCACCTAGACATACTATAACATAAATACTTTTAATTCAGAAAATGAAAATATGTCTGTAGTCTAAATATGTGTGTAGGTCTAAAATATTTAGACCTACACACACACACACACACACACGTTTCAGCACTTGCCCCTCAAAAGGTCTTTGCCCGGCCCTGTATGTATATATTATATATTGTGCATATTCTGTAGGATTCTGATATAATGACTGAAACAGTAATAATTTATCCAAAGCTACTTGTAACTGTTACTTAAAGCAACCTATTATAAATGAATTGACTGCTCAAGGGGACAACAGTTATCATTTAATATAGATTATGATTTACGGTTTTTGCACCTAAAACGTCGGTTACCAGCCTAGATCTATAACCACTCATATGCACTATCCCAATACCTATATCTTCGCCACCCTTTCATCTTTCACACATACCGGCTGGCTCATGATGCGTCTGGCCGCTCTCGGTCTCCTCTGGGCCGCAGCGGCTCTGGCGCGGCGGATCCTCCTCGAACACGAGCTTGAACTCGAACTCTCCCTCCTCCCATCCCGAGCCCGGCGCGGCCCCCATCTCTGACTCCGAGAAAAGTACGACCGAGACCGGCGACAGAGAAATCACTGACCCTCTCTCACTTCTCAATATCGTCTCCGTCTAAAACTAATGGGAGCCATACAGCTTTTCCAGAATATCACTGTGCGCGATCCACGTTCTCCTTCGTGCGCCTTCCTTGTAGGCTACATTAAAGAATTAAAAGTTATCCTCAAGTTGAAGTATCACATTTTTTTATTTCCGCATAGCTCTTGCTGTTTAACAGTTGCACATCTCTTTATCTAACCTTTTCTTCCCTGTAGATTCGCTTGCGATTTCCGTGACAGTCTGTTATTATAACTTCATCTCACGAACTTCCATCGTCCAGAACAGTCCATATTCACAGCCTCAAGTCCCACATACGTTCACGTTCAATAACAAATATCCGTAGAATTTACATTCATACCATCACTCCTCCACCAGCATAGGACAAAAAAAGTTATATGTAGTTCTTTTTCGTTCTTTACCCTTAATTGCCTTTGGGCGGGTTCCTCAGTACCGTTACTCTCTCCCAATTGGCTATTTGACTTGTCAATCAACAGACCTTAACTTTACATGCCCGCTTTTGCTGCAAAGTGTGTTGATTGGTCAGTGAGTACAACTACATATTTTAGGGTGAACTGTGAAGTATAACTTTATGATAGCCTACCCACAAGAATCTATTCCAACACACATTTTTAAAAGCAGAAACACATTCTCTTCTGCCCAATAGAGAATTCCCTGGACAGACACCAGCAAAAGTCTTGTCTGGCAAACAGGTTCTGAGAAAAACATATTTCATATTCCTTTTCCACATGCTTAAACATAGTGGCTATTTTTGTTTTAGACAAGACACTGATGCTGAAAGTTTGTCCATCTATGACGCCATAACTACAGTCATTCTCTCTCTCTCTCTCTCTCTCTCTCTCTCTCTCTCTCTCTCTCTCTCTCTCTCTCTCTCTCTCTCTCTCTCTCTCTCTCTCTCTCTCTCTCTCTCTCTCTCTCTCTCTCTCTCTCTCGCTCTCTCTCTCTCTCTCTCTCCCCCTCATCATACTTTCCCCCTTCTATGTCCCTCCCCTTCCTTTTCCCCAACTCTTTATCCCAGTTCTCCCTCCTTTCCCTCCCCCTGTAAGATCTGTTTCTCATTATCCTCTGTAGTCTGCACTCTGTCTGAAACGGGAGATGAAAAACTTAAATAAACATGTTCTCTCTCTCCCTCTTTCTGCTTTCTGACAATTCTCACAATAATTATCTTTTGTCTTATTTTAAAGCTTGTCTCAAGTTTGATGCTTAGAAGTGAGCTTTCCATGGCATCTGTTGCTTGATAAGTTGATGTACAGAGGCATCTGGCTGGGATTCATCAGTACTGGAATTACATTCCCATTTAATTTAGTGATGGGAACAGCCATAATTCTGCGAGAGAATAGAGCATATACAGAATACAAGCCTTTTTTGAAATGGGATCTTATGGTCTTACTGTAAGCACAGGGCTTGATTGTGAGGTGGCCCATTTCATTATATAAATATCAGAGTTATGCATGAGCTTCTCATCAGCAGCAATCTGTGCTGGCTTCAACTATACCATCCAAAAGCATATTTATGGAAGAATGTTGCCATCATGTGGACAACAAAGATAGCTAGTATGTTTAGTTCCCACACAGCCTCCAATCACGTCACAATGACATATATGCAAATTTGAGTAACTGTAAACTTCATGCAAAGCAATGATTAAGCTGCTCACTTTGGTGCTCCATTGAACCCAGTCATGAGAGTTTGGAGAAGCTTTTGTTTCTCATGGGAAACAGGTCACTGAATAATGACCCAGAGGTCAGAAATAAGGAAGTGTATTTTCTCGCTAAGTCCCCCCCTCCCCCTCCCCTCTCTCTCTCTTTCTCTCTCTCTCTCTCTTACACACACACACACACACACACACACACACACACACACACACACACACAAACACACACACATACACACACAAATGTCTCATATATATTAGTAGTTTCCCGTTTGGGGAATGTTTAAATTGCCATATTTTGAAAGACATATCTCGTGTGTGTGTGTGTGTGTGTGTGTGTGTGTGTGTGTGTGTGTGTGCGTGCGTGTGCGTGTGTGTGTGTGTGTGTATGTGTAAAAAAACCAATTCCTTATTCAATGACATCCTTTTTCTCGTCAAAAGAATAATTTTGGGTTCCCCAAAGATCACAGCAATAGCAAATCATACAACCATCCAATCAATTCCTGATGGACAAAATCAAGTCCTGCCCAAAAATGTTTTCTTAAACAAAAATGTTTTCTCAATATTCATATTTGGTGAATATTGGGTGGGTTGTGGATTTTAAATCAAGATATTTATTGTGCCAGGAAAAAAGTGGTAAAGAACTATCAGAAAAGTCAAAGCAAGTAAGAGCAGGTAGAGGAAACATGCCAAGGCATGTAACTGTGTGATACACACCTCATCCACTCCTTTCCGCATTCTTCTGGAATGCTGTAGCCTGCAGGTTAGAAAAAATAACTTTGTACTTTCATTTAAAAAAAAAAAAGACATGGAAATTGGTGTGTCGAAACATAGGGAGGAGAAAGAGGATGGTGTGGCGGAGTAAATTTGAACACGATGTGTCAGAAGACTAGCAGTTTAGTAACAGAAAGAAGCAGTAGGGCAATGATAAGTATTGATTATTAAATAGCTTATATTAAATTTGATAGAGTGAGATCACTGAAAAACAATATAAACTAACTTACATTTTTTTGAATAAGATGTGAAAGTTTATCTGAGAGACAGGGGAAAGAAGTAGAGAGACCAACTCGGAGACCACACAAGCTAACCAGGTCCATCTGGTCACTTCAGGGAAAATACATTTCAGCCATTCGGATCTAATCAAGTGTATTGGTGAGTTACAAATTTGATTTTCAAAGTGGAAATACATTACAGTCTTATTTCTCATAATCTGCCTGTATTTTTGCATCTCCATCTTTGTCCTTTCAGGCCACTTTCTGTTGACGCAACTCTGTCCAATTTCTCAATTTCACTCATCTTTGCCGTTCTGAGGTCAACAACGTGCGTAATCAGAACCAACTGATGACATTGCCGACTGGACAATCGTATCTTCTTACACTGTAGGGATTACAATACTGAATAGGTTCACCACAGTTCAATTTGTGAATATCCTCCCAATGCTATTTCTTTAAATGCCTTGCTTTACCTGTGTTCTTTTAACTTGACTTTAAATGAGGTATTCTTTTTTTGACAATTGCTGTAAAAAAATAAAATAATAATTGTACTTTTAGATAGCAGAAGAGAGCTTTTGGGATGAGGGTGAGGACGTGATCCTCTACAGCACAGCATAAGTGGCTTTAGTTGAGCGCAAGATCACAGCAAGTTGTAGCACGTTGTTTCCATGCATGTTTTTTTCATTGATGGCAGATTACTGGCTGAATTTCAATAATTACATGGTGGCTGAGAGCCCATCCTTGATGCTGGCTCATACTTTATTTGCCCACTGAAGCAAAAAAAAAAACTAAACAAAAAAACCCCTCAATAATTCATCGTACATAATCTGAATTAGGTAACATGCTCAAATTTAATAATTTTTTACCCCACCTGATCATGTGCTAATAATAATTTCAAGTTAGTCTAGAAAATAAAAGTACAATGTTAAGTTTAGTTATTTTTTTCAAATATTTTTCAAGATTAGTGGAGTACCTTACAATTTATTATAGGCTACATCAACATGTCATGTTTGATTCAATGTGTTACTTGTCATTTCTTATTAATTATTTGTGAAATTTACAAGCAGAGTGAAAATTGTTTGAAAGTAAATCCTACACCATTTTTTTCAGTTTATAAAAAAATTATAACAGCTGACAAATAAGTCAAGTCAAGTCAAGTCACCTTTATTTATATAGCGCTTTTTACAATACAGATTGTATCAAAGCGCTTCACAGTGATAACATGAAAACAATATAACAAAGTTTGTTTCTAAAAGAAATTGCGTCAACGTCCACCTTAAGTAAGGCAGATCAATAATATTATTGAATATTAAATGTTAAATGTCCCCAACTAAGCAAGCCAAAAGCCAAGGCAACAGTGGCAAGGAACCAAAACTCCATCAGGTGACAGAATGGAGAAAAAAACCTTGGGAGAAACCAGACTCAGTCGGGGGGCCAGTTCTCCTCTGGCCAACGTAGGAACAGTGCATGATTCGGGCAGCATTACAAGTCAGATTGGATCGGAACATTTAGAGTTATTTTGGAAGTCCAAGTATGCACGCTGGTCTTAAGACGAGTTGTTGAGGATCAGTGCCGTCCACCATAGAGAGTCCATATCGCCCGTGTAGAGTCGTCACTTCATAGGCTTTGTGATTGGAGCATCTGAAGTCTCCGTGAGAGGCTGGATACAAAGTAAATAAGTAAATACATAAATAAATAAATAATCTATCCTATAAGCTAGTTTGCTAGTCTTGCCTGTTGTCAGGATAGTCTGTTGACTGGTTTTATAGGGATTTAGACACTTTTTAAAGACATTTTTAGCAGGGTTATAGGTTATGAAACAATTTCCAGCTTCGAATAACATTGCTTTCTGATTCCATCAGTTCTTCTGACGCCTTCCTCATGGGATCAGAAAATGGGAACACCTCCATGGATAACACGACAACAAACGATCCTGAGGGTGGGAGCATTGTGGGTAACAATATTTCTGTTACCTTTGGGGCCCTCATCCTCAGCATCGTCTTCCTCCTGGGTGTTCCTGGCAACCTCTTCATTATCTGGAGCATCCTGGCACGAGCCCGCAAACGCTCCGTCACTACCCTGCTCATCTTCAACCTGGCGTGTGCAGACGGCTGTCTGATGTGTCTGACATTTTTCTTTATAATTTACCTTGCCAAGCAGAAGTGGATATTTGGAGGTGTCATGTGCAAGCTGCTTTTCTACTTGTGCAATACAAACATGTACGCTTCTATTATGATCATTACGCTGATGAGTCTACACAGACTAGTGGCAGTGGTGTGGCCCACATACTTGACTGCTTGTACTCGTAGACGGATGGTATTACTTGTGCTCGGGGGCCTGTGGATTGTTGTATTTCTTTTGGCACTTCCTGCTTTGATATTCAGAGAAGAAACAACAAAGAATGACCATGGAAAGAAACGCACAATATGTGCAACTCATCACCAGCATTCACAGCATGTGAGTGGTTTCTCTTTGCTCCACTGATGCTTGAATACTTGATTATGATTGGTCTATCTATCGTCCATAGCAATGCTGTATCAAACTGCTTAGTATTGCATTTCATATTTCTCATATTTCACGCTGCAGACTTGCTCTCTTTTCATATAAACCAGTGATTCTCAACTAATGGGCCCGGGGCTTCTAACTTCTAACAGGGCTCTAGGATTAATTAATATTATTTAAATTAAGTTAAATTAATAATAATAATAAAAAACACATCAAGGTGTAAACAATATTTTTTGTAATATTTATTTGAAAAGTTCTTATTTCATTGTGAAATTATTATTTTTAAGAACTTTTGTTTTATTAAAGAATATACAACTCTAGAAACATTTGAATATATTTACATATGTTTGAAAACAAGCTGCTCATAAATGCATACCAGAGAAATTATTGTAATCTATATGATGAACCTTTGAACATTTTGTTTAGTTATTAATTATATTGAAAATTACCTCAGAAAACTTCATTGTTTAATATTACTGTATAATATACGGTAGAATGAATATAATATAAACTACTCTGGGTGATCCATGTTTATTTTTCGATAATGATCTGCAGACTGTGCATTATCCTTACAAAATGTCATAATTCATACATAATCTCATTATGAACAGGTGGTATTCCAGTACACACTTGAGACAGTGGTGGGCTTCCTGGTACCATATGTGATCATAGTCAGCAGTTATGTGTGTATCCTTCGCCGCCTCAGACAGACCATGTTCAAGAGAAGGATACGATGCGAGAATCTTATTCAAGCCATCATTGTGACGTTCTGCATTTTTTGGCTTCCTTATCACATTATTAATATAGTGCAAGTAAGTATTCTTTATTTTATTTAAATCTGTTAATCTTCCCAAATCCTAGGAATTATATTGTAACAAGTGTATGAATGAATTATCCTTTGTCTTCTGGTCAGGTGGTGGCAGCACTTATACAAAAGGGACCAACCCAAAAAAGGTAAGTGGTGTGTTAAAGATGTTAAAGTACAGATATTTCTCCAAAAGTCAACCACCTCCTTCTCTGTCTATCCCCAGATTGGATAATATCTCGCAGTCCAGCCGTGCGGTTACATCCGCTCTGGCTTTTATCAGTAGTTGTGCCAATCCTATCCTCTACGCCTTTGCTGGACGCTCTTACATCAAAGCTGACGGCCTGGCATTCATGGCCCGACTCTTTGAGGGCACAGTCCTGGACTATGGTGCCCGAAGAAGCCAGACCAAAGAGGTTATCAGACTTTAAACCTCATGGAATGGATAACCAAAGTAATCTAGGACAGGACATTTTTATTGATACTGTAGGGAATAAACACCAGGACAAATTCATAAAGCAGCCATTTAAAATGCATTTAACTCCATTGATATAAATGAGCTAATTCACCTTCATAATAAAATGACCTTTCAAGTTTGCAAACTGTTTACAATGTTGCAATGCTGTTATACATTAAAACAATCCTGGTAAATCTGGAGTGGTTTTGCATATGTATTGTATTCTCATGTAAATATAATTAATATGCACAAAGAGTACTTATACCTCACAGCAGTGTGTACGTTTACTTTTACAGGAGTGGGATTATGAAATTACATGAGCATGAGAAAATGCACTTTAGAATTATACTTTGTGCTTCCACTTGTCGGTAGTACAAACTCAAATGCAGAAAGCAAACACTTCAGGACTCGACAGTTTGAAATCCAATTTCATAGGAATAAGCATTAAATTCATACCATGAATTAAGCCAGATATAAATGAGAATTTATTGTAGCAGTTTCAAGTCTTTACATCACTGACAGTATATATTGCCTTTCAAACTAACAAGACAGCATGCAACTCAAAATGGACAAATCTACAAGCCACAATTATATATTCTTATGTTAGGTAGCATAGAATTGTTTTTGTCTCTAGCAGGCCTATGTAAAGAGAAATTAAACCTCAATCAACTCCATAGTAGAAAGCCAGTAAATACCTAAACAAAGAAAAAAAACAATACACAGACTTAGAATAAAAAGATCTCAGACGGTTCTTTAAGGATGCACTTAAATGTCAGAATGAAAGAAAAACCTACCTTATTGAACACCTCCCTGCTAACATTTTTATAAGTTGAGGTTCCTGCAGAATATTAGCAATGATGTTAGAGCATTCAGACTAAACTTAGATTCGTTTTAAACAACGAGCACTTTTTCAGAGCATGTCAAGAAATCACTGAATTTCATAAACACGGACGCATGCAGTTCATAAACTTTGTGCAAGACATTAGCATGAGAAACATGAGATTTGGACTCACCATTTCCATAAAGGCGGGTCCCTGTAAAATAAACAAATTATCAAACATTAGAATGTATTCTGAGGGAACCATAACATCTCATAGCTTTATTCCGCAGCTTTAACCAGTCAGTGCAGTAGGTTTGTAATCATTAGATTCAGGTGAAACACGGACTGCAAAATCATCATGTCTAGGTTGAGAAGCTGCGCACTTGGTTCAGGCAAAAACGTTACAGCAATAATACAGCCGGGTGTAACATGCGGCATCTGGATGTAGTTAAAGCAGATGCACCTGACAATTCAGCAACCAACAAAACTTGTCATTGAAAACACATAACTTATTGGCTTTCAGTATTGCTCTAAAATATGAATCAAAAGGTTAAACTCGCAGAATACGCTCCAATGGGTCCATATTAAGATTATAAAAACATCCTTTTGAACTGTAGCTATATAGCGTGCACGCCCTCTCATATATATATATATCCTTTTTTTCTAAAACGGTCAGAGGCCGTAGAGAGCGGTCCACTTCCTTTTCGTCTAAAATTAACATCTCTTAAAGCCCATATATAAAGCAACAAAATTAGTGCTAAGGTACCAATACAACTAAAACGGATTTCAAAACAAATATTTCGATGACTGCACACAAATGTTACAACACCATTGAGAATTGCCAACAGAAAGGAATTTATCGAATTTATCTTCTAACCAACCAAGTTTCTACAGAGAGGAGAAAAACAAACAAAAACACGCTTTTGGTTACAGCACCCCCACAAATTATGAACTATCATAGTTGAAGGGTTGGACTCCGAAGCCACTGCCGCTTCAATGTATATCTAATGAGGGACTAAAAAGCAACGTATTAAATCAATATTGATCCTTCTACATATTAAATTATTTAAATATGTCTGCTTCAAGCTTATGATATTATACTTAATCATATAATTACCTTGTTTACTGGATTGTGCTCTCCATATTTTTGAGAGAGGCATGCGTTAAAACATTTAATCTTCTAGCCAACCAAAACATCCGAGGTCACTTCATCCTGTCACTTACATGACCAATTCTTAGTTAAAGCATTTACTTTTCTATATTCAATCACTAGCCTGTCTGTACCTCTAACTGTGAGAAGAACATGTCATTAGTATGTTTTGGGCAAGTATCCTGTTAGAGCCAGAGCTCAACCAATTTCAACCTTGAAGCGGTGTATCCGTGTAGGTATTCTTTGTTACAGATCAGTATTGGTAAGGTGAACAACTGGCACCCTGGGGAGATGTATGACTGGATCTTGACAAGCTGGTGCCCAGAAACGTATATCTGACTGTGACCTAGGAAGGTCACCTAGTGCCTAAAACAAGGGTCCTGGTATCATCCACACATGGACAGATAGGCAGAAGCACATCTCCAATTATACAGCCATTTCCCAAGTTTATCCATTTCTTAGCCAATCAGAACCATTCAACCTGCAGTAATGACGTAGTTTAGAGACTTGTATAAGGTATTCTTGCTGTGAAAATGTGAATGTATGGCAGAGCGGCCTACGAACTCCTTGTGAGTGTTGAAGCGGACTTCTGCTGATGAAACTGCAAACTATTCTTCAATTGACTGCACTTCTGATTCAGGGTCTTCATTTATTATATCTAGTCCTTGTTTCTTTGACATACAATACCCAGAGAAAACGCATTAAATTCAGGCAGACCGACATGTGAATTGAATAGAATAGCTTTGATTAATTTGTGTTGTATGAATTGCCAGCACACATAGTATGACGCATTTAAAACCGTAGTTGTGGGCATAAATTAATAAATCTGTTATACTAAAAGGGAATTGTTACAGTGTGTGCTATTATTGTATTTTACTTAATATTACTAATTGGCATGAAATATTGTTGCATGGTTCAGTACTGCACAATGCTGATAGTTCAGTTAAAAGGTAACTTGCCGTCCTTAACATGGCTGCAGTTACGCTCCAATTTGTGTGGATCACGTGGTAAACGACATACAGCTTTCGTAGGCGAAAGATAGGAAAGTGGATTTCTGCAAGTTGTCAGAATAAACTGACTCTACTAGCATGAGAGTCGATAGTCAAATTTCAATTTTCACTGCATGATAGTGCAACAAAAATTGCACATTTTGTTTGCTGGTTTGGAACAGAGCATCTTTGGATAGAAACAGCTCTGCTATATTAAACTCATGTCCTAAAATATCTTGAAACCTTTGTATGTGACCATGTTATGACACGGCTGGGTTAATTTATCAATCACTGGGAAAGTTATTTAAATTTTTCTTGAGGTGATCTGTTTTGTAAGTGCTCTAACAGCGCATGCGCGTACACAGGATGGCTATTATTGTTATTAATTGGCTGCAAACATGTGAAAGTCATACTATAAATAGAATCTGCTTTCATACAGATAAATATCCCCCCTTTATGTTGCATCTTATTCTCTGTTTGATTGTAAAATTAAAGATTTATTTCTCACTTTTTTCCTCTCAGGCAAGGCTCAGGGTTTGTGGGTCGTGAGCTGAAATGTTCACTGAAAAGCAAAGGCAAAGAAAATCACAATCATATCCAGGCACAGGCAGCCTGGTCCAGAAAAAAAACAACATGGCATGAATATTATGGAACTTACATTGAAGACTATTAACATCTCAGACTGGTCTTTAAAGATGCATTTACTCAAGGTCAGAATGAAAGAAAAACCTACCTTATTGAACACCTCCATGCTAACATTTTTATAAGTTGAGGTTCCTGCAGAATATTAGCAATGATGTTAGAGCATTCAGACTAAACTTAGATTCGTTTTAAACAACGAGCACTTTTTCAGAGCATGTCAAGAAATCACTGAATTTCATAAACACGGACGCATGCAGTTCATCAACTTTGTGCAAGACATTAGCATGAGAAACATGAGATTTGGACTCACCATTTCCATAAAGGCGGGTCCCTGTAAAATAAACAAATTATCGCACATTAGAATGTATTCTGAGGGAACCATAACATCTCATAGCTTTATTCCGCAGCTTTAACCAGTCAGTGCAGTAGGTTTGTAATCATTAGATTCAGGTGAAACACGGACTGCAAAATCATCATGTCTAGGTTGAGAAGCTGCGCACTTGGTTCAGGCAAAAACGTTACAGCAATAATACAGCCGGGTGTAACATGCGGCATCTGGATATAGTTAAAGCAGATGCACCTGACAATTCAGCAACCAACAAAACTTGTCATTGAAAACACGTAACTTATTGGCTTTCAATATTGCTCTAAAATATGAATCAAAGGTTAAACTTACAGAATACGCTCCAACGGGTCCATTACACCGGTATGGTTATGAAAACGCATCCTTTTGACCTGTAGTTATGGAAGTTATATTTTCTAAAACGGTCAGAGCATGTCGACCGTGAACTACCCACTTTTCGTCTAAAGTTAAAAATAAGTCAAATATATTTTTTTAATATAAAAAACTATATAAATGGCAACAAAACTAGTGCTAAGGTATTAATACAACTAAAATGGAATTCAAAACAAATATTTCGATGACTGCACACAAACGTTACAACACCAATGAGAACTGCAAGCAGAAAGGATGTTACTATGGCATGAGGCCGAATTTATCTCCTAACCAACCACGTGTTTCTACAGAAAAAAGCGCTTCCGGTTGCGGGCGGCACCCCACCCCCATAAATTATAAACTGAATCAGAGTAATATCATTAAATTCAGGCAGTCCAACATGACGTGACTTATGTATAGAAAAGCGTTGATTAATTTTTATGTTATAGGAATTATCAGCAGACATAGTATGATCCATTTAAAACAGTAGTTGTGGGCATAACTGAGAATGCACAATAATTCCAAAGATTTGTTTTACTAAAATGGAATTATTATTATTTACAATAACATATTTTAAATATCATATTACACATTGGTATGGAATATCATTGTTGCATAGTTAAGTACAATGTTCATTTTCAGGTAAAGCCAAGGTAGGTAAGCCGTCCTTATCAACATGGCTGCAGTTACGCTCCAATTTGTGTGGATCACGTGGTACATACGACCTTCGTAGGCATTTAGGCACAGTAGTCGCAGGCAGAAAGATGTGAAAGAAGTGGATTTCTGCAAGTTGTCAGGATAAACGGACTCTACTTTACAAGCATAATGAGAGTTGTAATAGGTATATCACATTTATCAATTTTTTCGTTATCCCTGCATGATAGC